AGGACGCATCCCTGCCACTCCCATCCCGCGTGGGGCAAGTGAGACCTGCTCTCCAGGGTGGGCTCCTCCAGGGCGGGCTCACTCCAGGGCGGGCTCACTCCAGGGCGGGGGCTCACTCCAGGGTGGGGGGCTCAATCCGGGGCAGGGGGGCTCACTCTGGGGCGGGGAGCTCACCTCGACAGGGCACGTGGCCCTTCTGTGGGCTGCTCTGGTTAGGGACCCGCCCTTTGGGGGCTGAGCTCTGTCTCCCAGGGACTCCTGCTGGCATGTGGACCCAGCAAGACCCCTCCTCCCCTTCTCACCAGGGAGCCCACCCCTCATTCTAACCCCAGCCATTCTGGGCCTTTGCACAAAGCTGTTCGTCATCCTGGGACGCTCTTCCCCGACCCCAGCCCTCGTTCCTTGGTTAATTCCTGCTCAGCCTTCAGAACTCAGTCGGATCCACACCACCTCCAGGAAGCCTCCCAGACCCCGCCACCAGGTTCAATGCCCTCTCCCTACTCCCCCCAGCTCCTGCACAGCTCCCAGGGTCTGTTTCCACCACTGGGTGACAAGCCTTAGAGGATGGGGCCTTGTTTTGTGTACCCAGCACTGGGCGCAGTCCTGCTCTATAACAAGCATTCAAAACGCTCATTGGAAGAAACTCAGGGGGCTTTACCCAAAGTAACAACAACACAGGAAGCTGAGCAGAGTCGAGTGCCCAGGGCGGGGTGCCCTCCACCCCCAGCTCTGGTCCTGCATGCACAAGTCACACCCTCCACTCTTCCCACTGGGGCACAGAATCGCTCTACTGGCTCCACGTCAACCAGCTAAGCCGATGGGAGTTTGGAATCCCGTCTTTGCCCAGGGCTGAAACAAGGAGGTCACCCAAGAAGGGCTGGTGCTGGGCCGCCAGACAGCAAGGCAGCCCCCCACCGTCCCTCACGCTGCAGATGGCAGTGAGAAGCGCCCCAGTTGGGGCCAGACAACCCGGGTTCCATGCCTGGTCTGCACTTACTAGCAGCCCCTGCAACCTCGGTGCACGCAGTGTCCGGACTGATGTGACGGTGAAGACTGAATGTGCAGTAGCAGTAAGCAGTGCCCCCAGCAGCCACTGTTAAGGAAAATCGTGCTAACACTGGCTGGCGTGGCCACGTCAGCTCCCACACAGCCCCAGAGCACTACGAGGCATTAGCCTTGTTTTACAGATGAAGAAACTAAAGCAGAAAGTGCTTATTTTGCCAAAAACTACACATTCAATAAGTGGCAGAGTGGAATTTGATCCCAAGCAATTTGACTTCGAGCTTGGGCTCCACTGCCATGCTGAAAGCCTGTGTTTTTAGAAGAAACTTTTATTAAAAGTGGTTTCAAAGAACTAAAAATTATGACGTGCCCTTCTGGATCCTCAGCTAACAGCTTTGGAAATGAAATATCCCAGGAACAATTTTCCCAGTCGATGGTGTGTTCCCATAGCTGTGGGATGCTTTGATCTGAGTGGGGAAAAAAATCAGGAATGTGAGTCGGGGCCGCAGGGTCCAGCTGGTGCCAAGGTCTCCTCCCACCCTGGGCTGCCGGAGCCCACAGCCCACAGGGATCCCACCCGGAGGTTGGGAACGTCCAAGCAGAAGACAAGGAAATGAGAGCTGCCGCTGCCCAGGGGAGGACAGGCCACAGAGGCCACTCATTATTGCCACAGCCGCTAGGGACTCCCATGTCACCTGTGTCTCTTCTTCTCACTTCAGGTCCTCCTGGCCCTGGGGGTGGCAGTGCAAGGATCTGTCGCCATTTTACCAACATGGGAAATGGGCTCGTGGGGAGCCAGGGTGCTGGGTGCCACTCTGCTGACTCAGCCCAGCTGCTATTGCTGCTAGGGAAACTTGAGCCACAGAGCTGCCCCATGACCCACCTGGCCTTGCACACGGCAGAGCCAGGAGCTCTTGTGCCCAAGTCCAGGCTTTGTTTCTCGCTGCTGCGCCACCTCTCCGTGTGCCTGCCTTCCAGGCTCCTCTGCACGCGTCTCCCAGGTGCGGCCCAGCAGCGCCCGCCCTGAAAGGCCAACCCAGGACCCCAGTCAAAATTCAGACTCCAGAATTCCCAAATCCGCCCACCCCGAGGCTGCTGGGCTATAAGCTCCATGAAACCAGGAACTCAGTCCACTTCACTCCACCCCAATCCCCAGAGCTTAGCAGGCAAAGGGATTTCAAGCAACC